ATTCCAGTTTACTGATAGTTTCTTCTGCTTTATTTAGTTGGCTATCAAACTTTCCTGATGTGTTTTTCACTTCAGTTACTGTATTCTTGAGCTCTCTGGCTTCTGTTTGGTACGTTCTTATGTTTTCCATCTCTGAGTTCTCACTAGATTCATCTATTCATCTCGCAAGTTTGGTGAACATCTTTGTAACCATTATTTTGAACCCTTTTTAGATAAATCACTTAGTTTTATTAAAGATTTTTTCTGAGGTTTTTAGTTCAGAATGTATTTTTCTGTTTCTTCATTTTTGCTTGACTCTGTGTTGGTTTCTATGCATAAAATGGTCACCTCTCCAAGTCGTGAACAGCAGCCTCACATACTACTGAATCTTATTGTTCAACCCTGCCCTAGCTCTTGTCTCTTAAACCTTTGAATTGCCCAAACATCCTCTTTTATTTTAAACAGCTCCCAGTAGTTGAGGTTGTGCCAAAAGCTATCAGCACCCCAAAGGGAAGGATCTCAGCACCCAGACGCAGGCTCATTCTCATTCTCATCTTTTAAAAGTATGCACATATATACATACAGTCCTGTGGAACCACAAACATAAGCCCCACTGACCACCAGAGCTAGGCAATCTGGAAGTGTCTCCTGGGCAGCAGTCCCAAAAATAGGGGCACCATGCAAGTGCATACACTCCTTTCTAAAAGATACCAGCAAGCTGGAGCAAGACAAAAGGAGAGCACAAAGATGGCATCCACTGGCCTCCATTCCATGAAAGTAACTCCATAAGCTTCCAGATGCATGCCAAACCTGAAACCTGCCTTTTGGGCTGAAACTCCAATGCAAGGAAATAGTCCTACTTCACAGAAAGCCTGGGGGCTTTCTTGACTGTGCAGTAACCTGCCAAGAACTAGGTCTCCTATTGTTACAGTCCCTTGGGGCCCAGGAATACAAGCCCCCCTCGCCACCAGAACCAGGCTATCAGGTGAGCAATCTGAAAATACTAGAGAGGGCTTCAGACATAAAAACGGGGGCACCAGATGTGGTAAAATCTCTCTCCAGTTGATACTGGCACTCTACAGTGCAACAGAGAGGGGAAGTGAAGATGGTATCCACTAGCTTCTGTCCCTGGAGAATACCCCAGGAGACCCCTAGATGTGTGTTAAATTAGATGCCTACCACTAGGCCAAGGCTTTAAGATAAGGAAATGAGCCTCTTTCACAGAAAGTCTAGGTGCCCATTTGCTGCTTCTGCACTGGTCCCTAGGGTGGGTCAGTCCAAGCACGCAGGCTCTTTAAGAGCCATTTCTCACTTCACTATTGCCTTATGGATCTTATTGACAGAAGCTTTGTTGGTTTCCAAAGCTAAATGTTTTAGAGCATCATCTTAAGTTATGGTGCCCAGTGTAAGACTCAGACCCTTCACTCCTTGGAAGATCAGGTTGGCTTTTTTTTCACTTTTTAAAAATTTTATTTAAATTCAATTAATTAACATATAATGTATTGTTGGTTTCAGAGGTAGAGGTCAGTGATTCATCGGTCTTATATGATAGAGAGTGCTCATTATATCACATGACCTCCTTAATGTCCATCATCCAGTTACCCCCATCCCCCCACTCTACTCCCCTCTAGCAACCCTCAGTTTGTTTCCTATGATTAAGAGTCTCTTATGATTTCTTTTCCTGATTTCATCATTATTTTTTTCTTCTTTTCCTGATTTCATCATTATTTTTTTCTTCTTTTCCCCTATGATCTTCTATTCTAAGTTCCACATGAGTGAGATTATATAATTGTCTTTCTCTTATTGACTTATTTCACTAGGCGTAATATCTTCTAGTTCTATCCACACCATTGCAAATGGCAAGATTTTTTTTGGGGGGGGGATGGCTGAGTAGAATTCCATTGTGTGTGTGTGTGTGTGTGTGTGTGTGTGTGTGTGTACACACACACCACATTGTTACCTATTTATCTATCAAAGGACATCTGGGTTCTTTCTATAGTTTGGCTATTGTGGACATTGCTGCTATAAATATTGGGATGTAGATGCCCCTTTGAATTGCTACATTTTTCTCTTTGGAGTAAATACCCAGTAGTGCAATTGCTGGGTCATAGGTAGCTCTATTTTCAACTTTTTGAAGTACCACTATACTATACCAGAGTGGCTGGTACCAGTTTGCGTTCCCACCAACAGTGTAAGAGGGTTCCCCTTTCTCCACATCCTCCCCAACATCTGTTGTTTCGACTTGTTTGTTTTAGCCATTGACTGGTGTGAGGTGATACTTCATTGTGGTTTTGATTTGTATTTTCCTGTTGCTGAGTGACGTGGAGCATTTTTTCACGTGTCTTTTGGCCATTTGTATGTTTTTAGAGAAATGCCTGTTCATGTCTTCTGTCCATTTCTTGATTGGATTATTTGTTTGGGTGTTGAGTTTGATAAGTTCTTTATAGACTTTGGATACTAGCTCTTTATCTGATATGTCATTTGCAAATATTTCTCCCATTCTATAGGTTGCCTTTTGGTTTTGTCACCTGTTTACTTTGCTGTGCAGAAACTTTTTATCTTGATGATATCCCAGTAGTTCAGGTTTTAAGTTCCTTCCTGGTTGTGGATCATCATGACAGAGATAGGAATATAATGAAATCATGTCTCAATCTGTCCTACCCACATAGATATGGGGTTTCTCTTGTTTGCCCAATGTGTAGGAGTCATTCAGATAATTTTATGGGTTCTTTTAAGAGGAAATTGCTCCATATATAGCTGTCGATTTGCTATGTCTTTGGGAAGAAGTCAGTTCAGGATTTTACATCACCATCTTGAATCAGAGTTCTGAAATTAATATCATGAAGAGGTACCTGCACTCCCATGTTCATTGCTACATTATTCATAGTAGCCAAGATATGGAATCACCCTAAATGTCCCTCGGTGGATAAATGAATAAAGAAAGTGTGATACACACACAAACACACATAAATGGAGTATTATTTTCACCCTTTAAAAAGAAGGAAATCCTGTCATTTGCAATGATGTGGATGAACCTGGAGTACACTGTGCTAAGTGAAATAAGGCTGGCAAATACTGCATGACCTCACTTATATGTAGAATCTAACAATAGTCAAACACAAACAGGCACTGAGTAGAATTTTGGTTAGCAGGGGCTGAGGGGAGAAAGAAATGGGGAAGTGCTAGTCAAAGGGAACAAAATTGCAGTTAGGATGAAACACACAGCATGGTGACTATAATTAATAATACTGTATTGAATATTGGAAATTTGCTAAAAGTAGGTTTCAGGTCCTCTCATGCCCCTTCCCCCAAAATGGTAAGTGAGGAGATAATATATTAAGCAGTTTTCATAATTGTTTCCTATGTATATTAAATTATCTCATTTTATAGCTTAAACATGATTTTTACTTAAAATGTTGAAAAGAAAATAAAGAAAATTTAGCCACAAAGTATAGAGAAACAAAATTAATTGCAATTATGTATCTTATTTAACCCAATATACCTGAAATGTTATTTGAACATGTAATCAATACAAAAATATTATTTTACTTTTTTTAGTATTAAGTCTTCAAAGTCTGTTGTGTATTTGCACTAAAAGATACTTCAAATTGGACTAGCCACATATAGATAGTGGCTACCATATACTGATCATGCAGATGTGAGTAACAGGAGTTCCGTAAAAAGAATGCATAAGGGTAAAAAGAGGCAGGGAAGAAATAAAATAATTTAAGAAAATTTCCAAGAACTAAAGGATACTAGTTTCCAAATTGAGTAGGCTTTCAGAAAGCCCAAGAAAATAGACGAATTAGACCCAGGATATTTCGAAACACCAGGGACCCAGAGAAACCACTATAGGGTTTAAAGAAAACAAACAAAACAGATTATTATAGTCAAAGGATCAGATATCAGCATGGCTTTAGACTTTTCAAAAATAATGGATAGGTAGAAGACTGAATGACTGCCTTTGATATACTGAAGGAAAAGCACCGCTAAGGTATAATTCTATAGCCAAAATATCAACCAAGTTAGGAGGTAAATAAAAGGTATTTTCAACTACCCAAGATCTCAAAAAATTTACCTGCCATGCTCCCCTTTTCAAGAAGCTACTGAAAGGTGTGTTACACCAAACAAAGAAGTCAACCAAGAATGAGGAAAGTGTGAGATACAAGAAATGAGAGAAAGGTGAAAGAAATCCCTGGGATCAAACTGTGAACCCAACCTAGAGAGCAACCAGTCCAGGTTACAGTAGGTCGGAAGGAAGCAAAAATACTTCACCAAGAAAATCCAGTTGATAGAACCCTGATGCAGGTCAGCCCGGGTGGCTCAGCGGTTTAGCGCCGCCTTCAGCCCAGGGCCTGATACTGGAGACCCAGGATCCAGTCCCACATCAGGCTCTCTGCATGAAGCCTGCTTCTCCCTCTGCCTATGTCTCTGCCTCTCTCTCTGCGTCTCTCATGAATAAATAAATAAAATCTTAAAAAAAAAAAGAACCCTGATGCAACTGATTGTGGATGTAGAAAAGTGGCAGATATGGACATTGAATAGTTACATAGACACAAATCTAAGCAAATAAGAGATAAAAGAAAAATAAAAACTTATAAACTCTGAATCTTGAGTAATTTCCATTACAAGGGTCCAGAAGGGCATGTAAGTAAAGTGGAACAATGAGAGGTAAAAGAGCTAAAACCTCATCTTTCATAGTACAAAATTAATATATAATTCTTGAAACTGAAATGTAAGGAAGGAATAATATAAGCATCTTAACTGAAAACATAAAAACCAAAACAATCAGGTGTTGAAAGTAGTTGTTTCTGGGGAAGGGAAAATAATAGGAAGAAGGGATCTGCTAGTTTTCCTAACAAATTTTGTAAAACTGTGTTTCTCTAAGTCCCAAGTATATACACATCTAACTTACTTTTTTTTTTTTCTAACTTACTTTAAAAGAAACATGGGCAGTACTAAATCTGGGTAAGTAAAGGACCTTTACCAGGCCATTGGTAATGAGTGTCCTTATCTCCTAGTATTGAGTATTGGTTCCGCTGCATGGATGTGGATGGGGACGGTGTACTCTCCATGTACGAGCTAGAGTACTTCTATGAGGAGCAGTGTGAACGGATGGAAGCCATGGGCATTGAGCCCTTGCCATTCCATGATTTGCTGTGCCAGATGCTTGACTTGGTAAAGCCAGCCACTGAAGGTAAGATTGAGTAAAAAGTTCATTTGCACTTTTCACGTGTGTAATAGAGTGGGGTATTTAATCCCAGATTGTCCTAAATTCTTTAATAACTTCCAGAGTCTTCCATACTGACTTCCGAAATACAGAAATACTTACATTTCTTATTTACTATTAGTGTGGAACCAACAGTTAATGGCAAATCCTATTGAAGAAATTTTTCCAGGGATCCCGGAGTGGCTCAGCAGGTTTAGCACCTACCTTCGGCCCGGGGCATGATCCTGGAGTCCCGGGATTGAGTCCCGTGTTGGGCTCCCTGCATGGAGCCTGCTTCTCCCTCTGCCTGTGTCTCTGCCTCTCTCGCTCTCTGTCTCTCGAATGAATGAATGAATGAATAAATAAATATATAAATAAATAAAATCTTTTAAAAAAAAGAAAAGAAAAAAATTTTTCCATAGAGGAACACCTGGGTGGCTCAGTTGGTTAAGCATCAAATTCTTGATTTTGGCTCAGGTCATGATCTCAAGGTTGTGAGATCAAGCTCAGCAGTGAGTCTGCTTGAGATTATCTCTCTCCTTCTCCCTGTGCCCTGGCCCACCGTAAGTCTTTATAAAGAAAAAAATTTGTCCATAGAGAAAGCAGATTAGCAGTTGTCCAGGGCTTGGGGTAAGGGGAATTGGGAAAAGTCTGCTTGACAGATGGAGAGTTTCCTTTCGAGGTAAAGAAGTGTTAACAGAACTCAATAGTAGTGATGTTTGCACAACATTGTGAATGTACTAAAAGTCACAGAATTGTACAATAAAATGGTGAACTTTATGTCAGTTTCAGCTCAAAAAAATGGGATCTTGTATAATAAAATTAGCATATACATATATCTTTAAACTTCAGTAAAAGATTTCACTTACCAAAACATTCTTGATATTTACTCGATTTGTTTTTACATAGGCAAAATAACACTACGAGATCTGAAGAGATGCAGAATGGCACACATCTTTTATGACACTTTCTTTAATCTGGAGAAATACTTAGACCATGAACAGAGAGATCCCTTTGCAGTCCAGAAGGTACTGGTTTTAACTTCTATTTGAGAGCTGCAGTATCGGGGTTATATGCTACAGATAAAAATTATTTCTGCCTATGAGAATCTTGTATTTTAAAGACGTAACATTTATAACATCACATACTGAAAAAAGAAAAATGGACCCAGAGCTCATCTTTCCCCCCAGCTAATCTTTAAGTTTAGGTAACCACCATCTGCCTATCATTAAGTGAACTGTATGGCCTGTGTACTTACATATATATTAGAAAATAGTTTTTAAAAGGTTTGAAAAAAATTTGTCCTTCCAAATTAAATATTTATCAATAGGCACATCTTTATTAGAAAGCATATTGGGATTAACTGTACCATTCATTTCCAGAATGACATGTAAATAGCTCTCCCCATCATAACGAAAACCAGACATTCTCATGAAGAACAAACCTCAGATAATATAACACTTTTTCAAGTGTTAATGACTGTTGTGCAGGACTGTCAGTTTGAAGTCATTCTACACCTGAATAGACACTAACCTGTAGACCCTCAAAAAACCCTGAATATCATATGGTTTGTTCCAAAGAAAAAGGGCAGAATATCAATATTTCTATTCCCTTATTTGAAAAGTAAAAATTATGTTGATAGAAAAGGACTATTTCCAGTGGTCCTGCAAGAGTACAACTACAGGAAACTTTTGGTCTTTTCTTTTTCTTCCACATGTTGACCTAAACAGTAGTAAGAATACAAAGATCACCTTCCAGAAACAAAGTCTCTGTATCTGATCTTGGAGCATATCAAGGCCCATTGTCACTAACCTAAAGTCAGAATTATGTTTCATTGACTCAGAGGTGCCCATTATTTTATATCCCTGGAAGGAAGGAAGGAAGGAAGGAAGGAAGGAAGGAAGGAAGGAAGGAAGGAAGGAAGGAAGGAAGGAAGGAAGGAAGGAAGGGGAAAGGAGAAAGGAAAGGGAAGGGAAGGAGAAAGGAAAGGGAAGGAGAAAGGGAAGGAAAGGAAAAAGGAAAGGGAAGGAAAGGAAAAAGGAAAGGGAAGGAAAGGAAAAAGGAAAGGGAAGGAAAGGAAAAAGGAAAGGGAAGGAAAGGAAAAAAAAGGAAGGGAAAGGGAAAAAAAGGAAGGGAAAGGAAAAAAAAAGGAAGGGAAAGGAAAAAAAAAGGAGGAAGGAAGAAATTGTAAATCTAAGATGTGTACCAGTTTCAGAGATATTAAAAGGATGGGGTAGGGGTTCTTAAAATGGATTAACTGTCATAACACATTGTATGGTCAATATTTAGGTATTTGCATTCTTCTAGGCATAACTAACCTTACATCCAAGGGCAGTGCTCATTTTAATCATGGAAAAACATTTTACCTGGAATACATAATCCAAGATACTGCCCATATTGTAGAAGGAAAAGAAAATGTATAGCCTTTTCCTCCCCTTCATTTCTTCCATTTGTGTTATAAATTTTACTTTGTAAGAAGTGACAGTATATCAAGATTTGTTCTGATATGCAAAGAACATTTTTAGTTAGAAAGAACTCAACAACTGAGTGTTATTCTGTATGTTGGCAAAGTGAACACCAATAAAAAAAATAAATTTAGAAAAAAAAAAAAAAAAGTGCTCAGTAGGGCAGCCCTGGTGGCCGAGCGGTTTAGCACCGTCTTCAGCCCGGGGTGTGATCCTGGAGAACCTGGGATCGAGTCCCGCATCGGGCTCCCTGTATGGAGCCTGCTTCTCCCTCTGCCTGTGTCTCTGCCTCTCTCTCACTCTCTCTCTCTCTCATGAATAAATAAATAAAATCTTAAAAAAAGAAAAGTGCTCAGTAAATTTCAGACACTGTGTTGAAGAGACATATGGTCAAATAGAGATTTAAAAAAAAAAGCAAAAAGTAGCAATCAAGCATATACAGTATAGCAAAGAAATTATTTGGGGAAGGGCTGTTTCCAGGAAGATAGCACAGATGACATGACATCTGAACTGACTTTTACAGAAGCAATAAAAAAAAATGTGCCAGAGAAAGGGATGGTATATTTCAGGTGGGCATATGCAAAAACCACAAATCATTCCAGATAGGTGCTGTGCAAAATGCCAGGGAGAAGGCGAGCCAGGGCATGGCCTCTGATTATAATCAGGCAAAAGAATCTGCATCTGAAGAATTAGCTGCTGAGTCGTTCACTATAATTTTTGTGATTGGAGGCACAGAAATCACTTCAGCAGTGTAACTTTAGCACCTCTTTTAATATGTTAAGATGAAACATTTTCAGATAGGTCATCACAAATATGTATCACTAAAAACAAACAACCTATCTCCAATTGTTTGTCTTTGATTATTTTTGTTTCCTGTCCTCTTTGCAAGCAGGATATTGAGAATGAGGGGCCTGAGCCTTCTGACTGGGACAGGTTCGCAGCTGAGGAATATGAGACTCTTGTTGCAGAGGAATCTGCCCAAGCACAGTTCCAGGAAGGGTGAGTGAATTTCCCTGGGTCTTGAAGAACTTTTTAAACAGGGGTAACCATCTCAGAAATATTAAAACCACCTTAAAAAATCAAACTAGTAATCCTTATTTTTTAATATCATAAAAATGGATTATAATCAACTTTAGTTGAATATTTTCCCCAGCAGTCTTCTCTTCCCTTCTTCACTAATTTCCTGAAAACTCTTCTCATTCCCATTTCCTTTCATAAAATTGTACTTTTCACTGGAAGTTAAGATCATTGTGGAGTCATACTACTTTGTTAGGGATGTTAGTGAGTCCCATAAATACAGGACAAGGGTAAAAAAACTGAAGCTTTTTTAAATAATAAAGATATATTTTTAAAACAAACCTTTACCATACATGGTTTTGTGCATTCAACCCTGAACAAGAAGTTACTTCTACATGGGATTTATAATAGGGCTTACTTAATTCCATAAAGGGACCATGGTGAGAAATTATCCAAGACTTTCACTGCTTAGAACATTTAAGCAACTTTATAATTTGTTGGCTCTTTTCCATCATCTTCTAGGGATTCCTTCAGCAGTTCCTCTAAGACTCTTAACTAATCCTAATTATTAATGTAATACATTTTTTGAATAGGTAATACATCTGTATGTTTTAATATTCAAAGAAACCAAAGGATTACATAGTAAAGTTTCCTACTGCCCAGTCAGTTTTCCTTCCCAGAAGCAACAATCACTGTGATCATTTTATGTACCCTTCCAAAAAAGACTCTCTATCCCACTCTGTCAGATAGATAGATAGATAGATAGATAGATAGATAGGATAGATAGATAGGCAGGCAGGCAGGCAGATAGGCAGATAGATAGAGAAAGAAGCAAATTCTTTCTTGCCTGGGAGGCTCAGTCAGTTAAGTATCCAATTCTTGATCCCAGTTCAGGTATCAATCTCAGGGTCATGAGTTCAAATCCAGTGTTGGGCTCCACACTGGGTATGGAGCCTACATTTTAAAAAAATAAAAAAGCAAATACACATATACATTGTTACATTACTTTTTTCCCTTACACATATGGTAGCATTCATTGTTTGGTACCTAGTTTTTTTCCACACTTGTATAAAAATTCTAGAGATCTGCTGTACAACATAGTACCTACAGTTTAAAATTTGGTATTGTGCACTTTAAAATGTTAATAGGATAAATCTCATGTCAAGTCTTCCTACAAAATAAACATACACAAGAAGAGAAGGAATGTGATGGGTGATGGGTATATTTAGTACCTTGGTTGTGGTATCACAGATGTATGCATATGTCCACATTGATCAAGATGCATTCATTATAAATGCATATCATTTTTTGTGTAACAATTACACCTAAAAACAAAGCTTGAGAAAACAGTATGGTAAACCAAAAACATTTGTATTTTATGATTACTAAGGTATAAATGAGGATTTACAAATATTTTGGGGCATTCAGTGCATGAAAAAAATTAATAAAAACAATAAATTAGAGATTATTCCATACATGTATCTAATGAATGTTCTTCCATACATGTATCTAATGAATGTTCTAAGTTTTTATAGCTGTATAATATTCTAATCTATAGTTATACCATTATGAGAAAAGTTATGCTATTAGAAATAAAATGTTCTAATGAATAATCTTATATACATGTCATTTTATACATACATAGGACATATTTCCAGAAGTATAGAAAACAGCATACTTGCAAAAACACAGATTAGAGAAACCAACACAAAATAATGCAGACACCCAGAACTAGCAACAGTGGGGAGCCACTTTCACCCCTAGGCCTAAAAGGACAAAGAAATAAAACCATTATCAGAACCCAAAGAGAGTAAGTATATGGAGAGAGTCAGGACTTGTGACCTTCAGTAAGGGAATTTAGTCAAACGATGTCAACCCAGATGAGAGCTGCTAGAATAAATACCCAATTTCACTTTCTTTATATCCCTTCGTATTCTGCTGGTACTTCCCATTAGCTTCCAACAAGAAGCCGGAAGATAAGACAACTAACTGATGTGGTCCATCTGGATCAGCCTCCTGGGGCACAAACTAAACGAAGAGTAGATCTAGAAGGATAAAAATGAAATATCCAGTTCAGTACATAATTTCAGGTAGCCCTCCACAGAGATTGTACATTTTACACACCTACCATTAAGTCTTCAATATCTTTTTGGAGAGTATTAAAGAAGCCATTACCAAACCACTTTCTTTAATCCAGAGATTTCCTTAATATTCTTAGCCACAAACTGAGATCTCATTTTTATCATTGACCCAGAAACCCATAAAAATCATTTCATCACTCATTATTTTAAGCCTTACTGAATCAGAAAACACAGGTGAGTATATTCACAAGCATGATCTAAATTTTTGGGCATTGAGCATCCATAGTCTACTTATGAAGCAGTATCAATACTGTTAAGAGCATGTGTAGATGTTTATAATAAATAGATTGCCTCCAACTTTTCACTGATAGGAGTAATAAAATTATCCTACATATATATAGTACAATTCCATGTAAACATTAAAAATCATTTTGTGGATATATATTTCTTGATTACTGTAATTAAAAAAAATAGAGATGTGGAGAAAGACTTTAAAAGTAAAAGACCAAATAGAATGGAATAGCAGAACAAAAAGAAAATTAGGTATATGTAAGGAAAACAACAGGGATATGTTATATGTATTAAACAACAGAGCAAATGGAACCAAAAGATTCCAATAAAAGCTTTTTTAAAAATAAAACAAGGGGGGATCCCTGGGTGGCGCAGCGGTTTAGCGCCTGCCTTTGGCCCGGGGCGCGATCCTGGAGACATGGGATCGAATCCCACGTCGGGCTCCCGGTGCATGGAGCCTGCTTCTCCCTCTGCCTGTGTCTCTGCCTCTCTCTCTCTCTCTCTCTCTCTCTGTGTGACTATCATAAAATAAAAAATAAAATTTAAAAAAAAAGCCTTCTTTAAAAAAAAATAAAAATAAAACAAGACTTGGGGATCCCTGGGTGGCGCAGCGGTTTGGCGCCTGCCTTTGGCCCAGGGCACGATCCTGGAGACCCAGGATCGAATCCCACGTCGGGCTCCTGGTGCATGGAGCCTACTTCTCCCTCTGCCTGTGTCTCTGCCTCTCTCTCTCTCTCTGTGACTATCATAAATAAATTTAAAAAAATAAAAATAAAAAAAATTAAAAATAAAAATAAAATAAAACAAGACTTGAGGGACCCTTGGGTAGCTCAGCGGTTGGGTGCCTACCATCAGCTCAGGTCATGATCCCGGGATCCAGGATCAAATTCCACATCAGGCTCCCTGCGAGGAGCCTGCTTCTCCCTCTGCCTATGTCTCTGCGCCTCTCATGAATAAATAAATAAATCTTAAAAAATAAAAATAAAACAAGACTTGAAATCTAGAAAGGTCAGGAGTCACACCATATCCAGAAAATTCTGATAATGATTGATTCTCCATATATATGTTGAATTTGCCAGAATTCAACGACATAAATAAAAGTTTATTTAAGGGGTTTTTTCCTTTTATTTTTTTTTTAATATTTTACTTATTTGAGAGGGAGAAAGAGTGAGAGCACAGCAGGGTGAGGGACAGAGGGAGAGGCAGACTCCCCACTGAGCAGGGACTCCAGGATGATGACCTGACCTGAAGACAGACACTTAACCGACTGAGCCACCCAGGTGCCCCATTTTTCCCTTTTTTTACAAAATTCAAGTCATCAGACAAGGGGGAAAAAAATCACCCTTGCCTCAGATACCTCCATAGTAAAACTGAATACTGGAAGACCATGAAACAATATATACAACCTTCTCAGAGAAATTATATAATCCCAAATTTTATTATTTTAAAGATTTTATTGATCTATTTGAGAGAGTGAGTGAGCAAGACCTACAGAGGGAGAACAAGCAGGGGAAACTGCAGAGGGAGAGGGAGAAGCAGGCTCCCTGCCGAGCAGGGAGCCAGACAGAGGCTTGATCCCAGGACTCCAGGATCATAACCTGAGCTGAAGGCAGGTACTTAACCGAATGAGCCATCCAGGCACCCCTACAGCCCCAAATTTTATACTAACCCAAGATGACATTCAAGCATGAAAGAACAAATGGTATTTCCAAACACATAAGAACTGAAGGGAATATAGCACCCATGAGCTCTTCTTTAAAAAGGACATAAGCATAAAACCAAGAAACAAAACAAACCAAAATAAAGAGACCGGAAATGGAGCAACCACTGTGAAAAAGAAATAACAGCATTTGATCCATTCAAATGTAGAAAGAATAGAAATAAGAACATAATAGTCTGGAAAAAATAACAGCTGAAACTAGAATGTAGAGAAGAGGAAGAAATATATGTAAAACATCCTAGAAGTAACAATGTAACTGAAAATGGGAGGTGGAGAGGAGAAAGAAAATGTGTAAATTTCATTGGAAAGGCCTCCATAGATAGCCTTTAAAGCTGTAAGTCAAAATGAGAGTTTAGGAATACTAATTAAAATAAACACTTGAAAAACCAAAGCCAGACTCTAAGTGTTCTAATTCAATCGGAAAACATGTACACACAAAATGAAAACACAGACCACAAAGCATAAAGATGACAGAAGTAAAGTATTTTTAGATCAGTGTATGTAAATGGAATAAACTCACTTATTAAAAGAAAAGGATTCAATTCTGGAAGACAACAAAGGTTGAATTAAAAAAAAAAAAATGAAGGGGGATCCCTGGGTGGCTCAGCGGTTTAGTGCCTGCCTTTGGCCTAGGGCGCAATCCTGGGGTCCCGGGATCGAGTCCCGCGTGGGGCTCCCGGCATGGAGCCTGCTTCTCCCTCTTCCTGTGTCTCTGCCTCTCTCTCTCTCTCTGTGTCTATCATAAATAAATAAATAAATCTTTAAAATAAAAAAATAAAAAATAAAAAAAAATGAACCCTCAAAAAAAGCAGTGCATCTGAAACAAAAACTGCAAAAAGAAATTGGAACTTATTATTTGCAGCCATAGCAAACTATTCCCTGAAAATAGA